CCCCCCCCCATCTAGCAATTTCTGGCTCTCCTAGATGCCCCCCCGGACAGTTCCCTTGTGTTGACTCTGTCGGCTGCGTTGACGCCTCAGCTCGCTGTGACGGTACAAAGCAGTGTCCCACCGGCTCTGATGAGGAGAACTGTGCAGTGACACAGGGCTGCTTGGATTCTGACTGGACCTGTCGAAACCACATCTGTATCCCCAAGGAGCTGCGCTGCAATGGACTGAATGACTGCCAGGACAATTCTGATGAGGAGGACTGTGGTGAGGAATATGGAGGATTTTAATCTTATAGTACATCCACGTTGATTGCCTTGCTTCCCGAAATGTCAGACTGTGGGAAAGTAGGGCACTATGGAATCAGTTCACCCAAACATTGAACAGTTTTGATATGTGATGACTACAAAATCAGTAAAGTTAGTGTGCTGAACATGCTGATCAAATGTGACATGTCCAGAAAATGGATATTATGTGTTAATAGTATCAAAGTTGTGTCAAAAGATGTCAAACACAACCAAATGGGCCCCTAACTCAGGCTAGATATGAGAAAGAGTTCAATGTTGAAGTATTGATGGTCTGTTCCCCAGGACTGTGTGGTGAGGATGGCATACGGTGTCCTGATGGGATGTGTCTGAGTTCAGACGAGCGTTGTGATGGGACGTTTCACTGCGCAGACGCCAGTGATGAGCCCATAACCTGCGGTAGGTTTGAGACAAATTGACTTGAACAATGAGGTCTTCCAATGATGGCAATTGCAAATACAAACCACTCACAACTGTTGGTAATCAATGTCAACATAATGTTTCTGACATGCTCCTGGTTCATGGATTTCTGTAATGCTCCTGCAGGTCGTATTTGCTCTACGAACAACGGCGGCTGCAGCCACGTGTGTGTCGATGAGCCCTGGGGAGCTTTGTGTACCTGTCCCGCTGGATATAAGCTCTCTTCCAATGGAGCAGTCTGTGAAGGTGTGTTTGGCTTTAAATAATCAAAGCGAACTGAACAAATATAGATGTAGGAGCCTGCCTTTTGCAGGATCATCCTTGGTCCCTTAACCCCTTTCTTTGCATACTGGAATGTTTTAAGAAGTGTCTTTTTGCAGCTTTGTAATCATCTGTTGCTAGATATGTTTTGATACTTCATGTATTTCAAGCTATAACCCTCTTTTTTTCCCCTCAGATTTGGATGAATGCGCCCCCCCATTCGCCCTCTGTATGCATCACTGTGCTAACACTGTCGGCTCATACTATTGCCAGTGCAGAGAAGGATTCAAACTATATGGAGGCACCGCATGTTTAGCTACAGGTAAGGAGACAAAGCTTTTCCTTGTTTGTACAAATCTAAAGATGCATACAATCATCCTTTGGTGCCAACTAAGCCTTTTCTAGAGCCAGAGATCACACAAGACCATACACATCAACCAGCAAGCAAGTACCAAGCTGCTAAGTGTTACTGAGCTAGTCATCAGCCTAATTGTGTTATGTGATTCACCTACTCTGGATTTAGTTTCATCCTCTGAAAAAGATCAAACCCAAACAAGAAGCATCATGAACTGAACTTGGTTAAAAGATAATTGACGTACTAATAGGTCTCTTTGATGTGCCTGAGCATTTACGAATAACAAAAGGTATCAAACGTTCAAAAGGATCAAACGCGACTTCAGATGCAAGCAGTTGAGATGGTTTTACCGGGATGTCTCCTCAAATGTTGTTAATAAAAGGATGATGCAATTGTGAAATATTGCGTTTGCATCAAGGTTTTTTTTTCTGTCTGAATATAGGCAGTAAACTAATCCCTCACCTTAGTAGTTGATGGATGTTTAATGAGCAGGAGGTGAAACTTACTACAATCCAAATATTCCCACTAACTGAATCAATACCTTTGTCCAGGTAACGCTACCAGACTGCTGATAGTGCAGAGGAGCTCTATGGGGCTGTTAAATGTGACGTCTCAACAGTTTAAAGTTATCCACACTCCAGTTCTTGACCCAGTGGCTTTGACTTTCGACGTTTCCCGAGGCTTGTACTACTGGGCCGACAACCGTGGCAGCATTTACAAAAGTAATGGACGGCAGAGCTGGACAACATTTACTGGTGAGTTGATCCAAGATGTGGTTGCTCTTTTTTTGTGTCTTTAGAGGTATTATGGCAATAACAACTGGTTTTGAATTAGAATAGTGACATGTATTTTATATATGTTGTATGAAGTTACTGAGTCAAGAGAAAATGGTAATGTTAACTAGGTAGATGTTCACCACACTGGTTAGCTTGGCTTTAACACATAATGTAAAATATGTTGCATCTTTTCCTTTTGAAAAATCCAATGGAGTTGAAACAATGTGTTTTCACAACTTTTGACCGATTCAACAATGGGTTTTTTTCCCCCCTTGTTTTGGTCTGAATTAGTTTTTTTAAAGTCCTGAAACCCCCCCCCAACTGTGTTACCCTTTGTGGAATCCATCAGGGTCCACATTTAAATCTCAACGCTGAATGCAGAAGGTAATAGTGGCATTTCTAAACAAAAATGTCTTATTAGACGTCTGATTTATTCATCAACAGGTGAGCCTGGAATCACGGGTCTAGCTTGCGATTGGCTGAATGGAAACCTGTTCTGGTCCAATCAGAAGACAGAGTCAATCTACATGCAGTCAGCTGATGGGAGAAGTTTCACTACACTGCTGAGCAAACACAACAAACCATCAGATTTGGTGCTCGTACCTGTGGAGAGGCATGCTACTTTAATTCTCTCTATCTGCTACATAGGATGAAACATAATATTATTTGACATATTTAAATGTTATTTAGTGATAACCCTGGTCTCAGTGAATTGGTAAATCTGCTTTTATACAGTATTCAACATGGATAATTGAGTAAACTGTTGCAGAAGTATTGGAATGACTTGTTGAATCCTATACTCACAGCAAACATTCAAAACCAGCCATGGTAAATTAAACAAAAAAATAATACACTGACTGTGCTTTTTTAAATTCTCTGCTCTGTCTCGCAGCCTGATGTTCTGGTTCAGTTCTGGCCCGGGGGAAAGAGTGACGATAGAGAGGTCGTGGATGGACGGGTCCGATGGAAACACTCTGGCGGTGCTCACTGCTCAGGCGGCCCACAGCCTCACTGCAGACGTCGCTGCCAGGAGGCTGTTCTGGATCAGCAACTTCAAGAAGGTGAGATGAGATTAGGTGTACTTTATTGATCCCAATTTAGGATTAATTTTTTGTCACAGCAGCATGTTAAGAAGGTGAGAAACGGATATACACAGTGGTGGAGTTTAAATGCATTGTAATGTTTTAAATGTACAGAGTTATGATACTGAGCATGCAAAATAGCAGGAAACTGAAACGGCTGAATAAAATATAATTTAAATTAAGGCGGCGCATAAAGGTGCGCTCAGTTGAGGCTTCCTCCGCAAGATGATGCCCCCTCTGCGAGGTGAGGGCCCCCTCCCCGAGGTGAGACCCCACGCAGTCTGATGATCGGCGTGTAGGGAGGGGCGGCCCTGTGTACTCATTCATGATGAGAAGAGAGTATAATACCATTCTTTTTAAAACAAAGTTTGTTTATCACTACAGAATAATTTTGTAAACCATTTGATGTTTATGCTTAACATGCAGTGAACAATAACTAGTTTCATTCAGTCCATAGAGACGGTGAAGATGGACGGGACCGGCCACTTCTCCTTCACAGGCCTGTTCAGCAGGAGGGCGGCTCTCGGCCTCGCTGTGTTTGAGAGCTCCTTCTACTGGGTCGATGAGATAGGACTGTGGCAGGTCCCACAGACGCAGCCAAACCAGAAGAAATTTCTTTTGAAAGCGGCACTGCCGACACTAGCCGTTTACCATGAGCTACAGCAGCCTCAAGGTACTTATGGAAACAAGATATTTAATTCTAATGCAATATACTTGTTGATTGGAGTATTTATTTCTCTGAATTGGCTATGACTTTAGTTTATGCTCTTCTTAGGCACCATGTTAAGATTCATTTTTGTTTCAAAACAAACAATACAGTTGTCATATTTGTATGTTTTGTCCCGAGCATTGTTGATTGATTTATACTTGATGGGTTTTAAATGACATAAACAGCGGATTTTTTTTCGCACCATAGTTGTTTCTTCCTCATCTGAGAATATTACTTTCATTTCAAAATGTCCTGTTTGTTTTTTTTTAAACTATTTTTCTTTTTTTTTACATCATTCAGGTTCTACTGCATGTGCAAATACTCTGTGTCAGCTCTGCCAGCTAACTAAAAGAAACCCGGTGGGATTCACCTGTGCCTGTCCGAACGCCAAAATGCTGTTGCCTGATGGGACATGTCAATGTAAGTTTAACAAAACTTTATTTTGGATCTCTGCCTATTTTTGGTTGAAGACGGGTAAAAAAATATTTTATCCAATCTGTTTTCTCTTGTCCGTCTCTAAGTAGTAATAAGCACAAGGGGAACGTTAAACAATTTTTTTTTCTGCCACAGACCCAAGGTTTGTTTATGCCACCAACATTGACATCAACCTGCTGGAGATCAGAGGGAAAGATTACGATCAAACCCAGCTGTTAAGCACTGGCGACGGGATCCTGTCCTTTGACCTGGACTGGTACAGAGACTGGCTCTACTGGGCCAACCAAACCGGCCATATCCAACGCACCAGTCTGACCCAGGTCAAAACTGAGGTGGTCCCGACACCTCTGCCAGGTAATGCTATGAGTTTCAAGTTTTTCATGCAGACAAGGTATTTTATGTGATAGAATTGGAGGGATGAAACCCCCTTTAATGGTCACACATGCAGAGCACACACAGTGAGATGTGTTCTCTGCATTTAACGCATCCTAGTACTAGGAGCAACTAAATATCACTAATCCCTGTGAATCGAAAAAAATTAATAGCATTAATGCATTTAGATAAAGCACTTTTTAGTCCTTTAGCATTCATTAACACCACCAATTTCCTTGTTCCAACTTGATCTGTAGTTTATATGATTCATGGGTTTAAGATAATTGATTAAATAAGTCTTTAAGTTATACTTTGTAGTGAATTAAATTATTTGATGTGAACAATTGTCTACTTTGTCTTCTTACAGCTTTCTGTACACTTTCCATTGACTCACTTATTTTTCTCTTTAGTTTGTTTGATTAGAATAGACCAGAGGAAAGGGAACCTCTATTGGGTGTCATGTGACCAAAACAGCATCGGCACCTCCACAGCCGACAGCCGGAACCTGCAGCAGCTGTACCGTACGACCAAGAAGATCAGAGACCTGTATCTGGACTGGCTGAGGGGGGGCATCATCTGGTTGGAGGAAGACCGAATCCTCACCATGAGCATGGCGGGAGGAAGTGCCAAAGAGCTGCTGCAGTTGGCAGACGAAGTCCAGGGGAACATCGCCTTCGACCTCAGGGCTAACAGCCTGCTCTGGAACTCAAAAAGGGCAGGTCTGTCTGAAGTCAAATGTTTCACCAGCTGTGTCTCAACACTTAGCTTAAAGCAATACAAAAGTACATGTGATTTTGTGCTGCAACAATAAGAGATGACTGTGTTCAAAGTCTTTCATTCAGTTGCAAAACAGTTTTGGTTTCCCCTTCTTACAGGTTTGACCATGATGAGTTTGCTGCAGGCGAAAAGCCACAAAGCTGGCAGGAGATGGAACATTTCCGGCTCAGTCATATCTGCCTTTGAGCCCTTCCTGCTGTCCCATTCGGGAAATGTCCTGACTCTGTGGGACCGGCGTGACGGGAGCGCCATCCAGGACATGCCTGTGAAAGGGCGTGTGTTCAGTGTCATCCTTGCACTGAAGAACGTCCGCCCAGGTCAGAACAAGTTAATGTTTTTAAAGAAGAAATAAAAAAAGATCTCAGTTTGTTTACAGTTAGTTTTTTAGCTTGTAGTGACTCACAAGTGCAAATGACCAGTTTACAGCCATGTGTATGAAAGCGACAGATTTTTACCCTGACTTACCTCCTCATTTTTTTCATATTCCAATTATAAGTGCCAGATACTCCAGTTTGCGCTGAACCCTATGTGCTGTGCCGACACACATCAATCTGCCTCTCACAAGCCCAGTTGTGTGACGGGAAAAAGGACTGCCCTGATGGAGACGACGAGGATGGTTGTGTAACCACATGCCCATCTAAAGGTGAAGTATCTATCACGGCGTCTATTGCACGTCTGTCCGTCCTGGGAGAGGGATCCCTCCTCTTTTGCTCTCCTTGAGGTTTCTCCCATTTTCCCCTTTAAACTGTGGGTTTTCTCTGGAAGTCTTTCCTTGTACGATGTGAGGGTCTAAGGACAGAGGGTGTCGTATTGTCATACTGATATTCTGTACAAACTGTGAAGTCCACTGAGACAAATGTGATATTGGGCTATATAAATAAACATTGATTGATCTATATCACTTTTTATTGTTTCTTGAAAATGGCAAAGCACCTCTTTCAATATGCAACCCTTTCTTTTCTGCCTCCATTTCCAATCTTAGACGAGTTCAAGTGCAAGGACAGTAGGAGTTGTGTCCCCAGGGTTCTCGTCTGTGACGGTCGTTCTCATTGTCATGATGGCTCAGACGAGGTCAACTGTCCGACCGTAGCTTCAGTTGGAGTTCTGTTAAACACTCTGAAGTGCCGCACGGGCTCCAAGCTGTGTGAAGACGGGACTGAGTGTGTTTTATACAGCCACGTGTGTGACGGGGAGAAGGACTGTCAGGACGGATCTGATGAACAGGGATGTGGTGAGTTTCCTAGGATGTTATCTGAAATATGCAGTTTGACTTACTGACGCATTCTATTTTAGTTTTTATGAAATATCCCTTTATTTAATTTAACTAATTGGATATTTTCAGAACCACTCAAACCTCCTGCTCCAGTCGCGCCGGCCTGCAGCAGCCCCGCTGTGCTCTGTCCCAATTCTGCTGTTCAGCTCTGCATTCTTCCGAGTCAGTTCTGCAACGGGCTCAAAGACTGTCCTGATGGCTTTGATGAAAAGAACTGTGTGCAAAGGTGTCCCTCTAGAAGTAAGGAGTTTGCTTATATATACATTTCCCTGTTTACCAATGTTTGCAGGAAGTTTTTTTGTTTAGAATGTGTCCTGCAGCCTAAGAGGGCTTCATTTGTTTTCTGCTCAGGCGACTTCCGCTGTAACGACCGCCGGAGCTGCGTCTCGCAGAGTCTGGTTTGTGACGGCCGCTCGCAATGCAACGACGGCTCCGATGAGCTCAACTGTCCGAACGCTACCCCTCCTGCAGCTAGAGCAAACGTCCTGAAGTGTCGCATCGGCACCAAACTGTGTGGAGACGGGACAGAGTGTGTCCTCTTCGGCCACGTCTGTGACGGAGAGAGAGACTGCCGGGACGGATCGGATGAAGTAGGATGTGGTGAGTGTTCACTCGAAGCTTTAATGAATGTAAAAGTCCTTTGCAGAAAGCCCACTTTGCTGTTTCTTATACAGTAGCATAACATTTTGACACTTTCCTGTTGGTTTGCTATGAAATGTATCACTCTTATCTATCTTCTAGATGCTGCAAACACTGTCTCTACCAGTGTTCCAGAAAATGTGCGCTCAATTCAATCACCTCCACCTGTCGAGACATTTACTCAGCCCCCCACCAACCCCCCCTGCAGCAGCCCTTCAGCTCTGTGTCCAGGCTCCTCTTTATGCATCAGCCCAACACAGTTTTGTGATG